CTTGGGGAGCACTTCTGCCAGCTCCCTCAGTACCCTCGGGTGGATCCCATCCGGCTCTATGGACTTGTGTGTGTCTAAGTGGTGTAGCAGGTCCCTGACCTTTTCCCTTTGGATCATGAGGGCTTCATTCTGCTCCCTATCTCTGTCTTCCAGCTCAGGGGGTTGGGTACCCTGAAGAACAACTGGTCTTACTATTAAAGTCTGAGGCAAAGAAGGCATTAAGTTCCTCAGCCTTTTCCTCATCCTTTGTCACTTTGTTTCCTCTTGCATCCAGTAAAGGATGGAGATTCTCCTTAGTCCTCCTTTTGTTGCTAATGTATTTATAGAAACATTTTTTATTGTCTTTTATGGTAGTAGCCAGATTAAGTTCTAGTTGAGCTTTGGCCCTTCTAATTTTTTCCCTGCATAACCTCACAACATCCCTGTAGTCCTCCTGAGTTGCCTGCCCCTTCTTCCACAGGTTGTAAACTCTCTTTTTCCCCGGAGTTCCATAAGACTTCCTTCTTGAAGAATGTCCAGCCTTCCTGGACTCCTTTGCCCTTCAGGACTGCCTCCCAACGGACTCGGTCAACCAGGCTCCTAAAGAGGCCAAAGTCTGCCCTCTGGAAGTCCAAGGTAGCAGTTCTGCTGATCCCCCTCCTTACTTCAAGAATTGAAAACTCTGTCATATTATGATGGCTGTGCCCAAGACAGCCTCCAACTGTCGCATCACCCACCAGGCCTTCTGTGTTCACAAACAACAGGAAGAATTGAAAACTCTGTCATATTATGATGGCTGTGCCCAAGACAGCCTCCAACTGTCGCATCACCCACCAGGCCTTCTGTGTTCACAAACAACAGGTCCGGTGAGATGCTTTTCCTATTTGGCTCACTCACCAGCTGTGTCAGAAAGTTATCTTCCACACACTCCGGGAACCTCCTAGACTGTTTGCAGCAAGAAAAAACATCTTGCTTTTGTCACGGAACTGCTATCCAATTGACAGGAGTAATGTCCTCGCAGTTTTGATGGCTCCAGGTTGATTTTTTTATTCTCACGAAACTGTCGCTTCAGAGAGCTAATACACGTTCTGTCGTTCCAGTGGTTGATGATAACTTGCATTGACTCGTGTTGTACAATTTGCTGGCAGACAGCTTATATTCTGGTGACCATGTTCTCAATGGTAGTGATGCAAATAAAATAAATGTCTCCTGTTGTGGTCTTTGCAACAGGAGGGCTAATGGTCCTTCCATCATTATTTCAACACCTTTTTTTTTTTTTCTTACTGATGAGCCATGTACAACATTGTGTACATATGTGTAAGAAATCACATAAATAGCTACTTGGAGACATTCAGTAACATTGGAGTTCGATGTTCTCATGATGCTACAGAAGTGATCTCTGTGTAAAAGACTGCTGCTTGCATCTCCAGCAAATAAACCCAGAGCCCTTGTACTCAGCTGTGGTGTTACTTGAGCAATGCTGTGCCATAAAACAGCAGTGACTGTAGCTAGGCAGTGCTGCAATGTGTCCTGAATGCCATATCCACTTGGCAATTTTCCTGATCTGTTAATCAACTCTAACATTTGGCAGATGGTGATTTCCATTCCTCAGTTTCTGTGGGGCTCTTCACAGCCCTCTGTCATTAGATGAATGCTATTTTAAAGAGTCATCATTGGTAAGGTAGTAATAAAAGTGAGTAGGAATAAAAATACTGCTCTGGACCATGGGTTTCTGTTTTTCTCGCCTAAGTCAAACCTACAATCTCTAGGCTTTGTTACTGAATAGTAGGGTCTAATAACACAGTGATGCTTCAAGTGCTCACCTCTCCCTCTTTGGCTTCCTAGTCCATCAATGTGGCCATCAAGAGTAAGATTCCCTGTGTTGTGGTGGAAGGCTCTGGCCGGATTGCTGATGTTATTGCTAGCTTGATGGAGGCAGAAGGCACTCTTGCTTCTTCATGTGTCAAGGAGAGCTTGCTCAGATATCTGCCTCGCACCATTTCAAGGCTCTCGGAAGAGGAGACTGAAAGCTGGATCAAATGGGTAAGTGTGTGCTACTGCAGGGAGCTAGCGAGGCTGAAAGTGGGAGAAGGGTAGAGAAAACAGGAGGTCAGGAGCAGCCAGTGAGTTCCAAATCAAGGATGTTGCTATCTGGTGATACCTATAGGATGTGCAGGGCTCCTTGCCCTGACATATCCATGAGGTGTGCATTTAACAGGATTTTAAAAAGAAAAATTCCATTCTCCTATTTTATAGGGATTGGAACAAAAGTGATGGGGAATTACATTATTTTGGAAAGGCAGCACATTTCTGGGTTTAGGTCTGGGCACAGGAGAGCTAAGGCCAGGTGCTTTGTAATGGTCTGCTCCCTGGATGCTTGCAATTCCTG